GGCTTATGAGAGATGGGGCCTCACGTGATTTCCGTGGCTCCCCCTAACCTTCGGGGGCGGGGGGTGGGGGGAGAGTCACACAGCGGAGCCTGGAAAAGAGGAGGGAGCGGCTATTTCAGGCATCACTATTAGAGTCCCTCACCTCTGCCTGCACTCACCCCCTTTCCTCTCCCTTCCAGGCTTCCAGTATTACAATCTATTTGCCCCAGGGGTAGGGCAGCCACTGTCCTCGGGGATGGCCGTCCACCTGAAGCTGCTCTCCTCACGCAGGGACACCAGTGCCAGGGAGGAGGCGGCCATGGGGGGCCGGGGCGCGCTGCCACCGCAGAGCTGCCAGAGCTGCCTTCGATACTTGTCCCCAGTGAGCAGGTAGAGCACGGGATCCAGGCAGCTGTTGGCGCTGGCCAGAGGCCGGGTCACTTTGTAGACCACATTGACAATGTTTAGCACCTGGCAGTCAGCCTCCAACAGCCTGGCCATGTAGTAAATGGTGCGGGTGATGTGGAAAGGCACGAAGCAGACGGCAAAGACAGTCAGCACCACCGCAATGGTGCGGAGAGAACGCAGACGAGATGATGGCTGGGCAGCCCCTGGCAGAGGCCGGTACAGGCGCCGGGCCATGAGCCCATAGCAGACAAGCGTGACCAGGCACGGCACGCCAAAGAACAGCCCCATGATTGCTGAGCTGAAGCGTACAAACTGGTCAAACTGCTCGGGCCGAGTGGTGTCGTGGCATAGGATGGTATCTCCCCTGGAGCTGGTCGTGACAAAGAACAGATTGGGCACGAGGCAGCTGGCTACGACCAACCAAACTGCCAGGCAGAGAAGGCCTGCACGGCGCGGGCGGCCCCAGCGAAGTGCCCGCAGTGGGTGGCAGATGCCCAGGTAGCGGTGCACACTGATGCAGGTGAGGAAAAGGACACTGCAGTAGAGGTTCCAATAGAAGAGGAAGCGGACGAACTTGCACAGCCCTGTGCCGAAGGGCCAGTGGTTGCCGGCTGCGTAATAGTAGACGAGGGTGGGCAGCGACAGCACGTACAAAGTGTCTGACAAGGCCAAGTGGAACATGTAGGTGGCCGTTGCATCCCAGGGCCGGAGGTGAAAGACGAAGAGCCAGAGGGTCGGGGCATTGAGGCCTAGGCCCAGCACAAAGACAAGTGCGTAGCTCACAGGCAACAGTATGAACTTGAACTCCTCATCAAACAAGCAGTCCAGCTCCACCTCACTGTCGCCAGGCTCTGAGCTGGGAACTAGGGTTGTGGGCAGCGAGGACTCCGTACTGGCCATGGCCCCCTAGAGGTGGAAAGGGCAGAAGTGAGGTGCTGGATTTCCCTGCCCACCCCTCCAGCCCCAGCCCTGACCTGGGAGGTAAGAGGCGTAAATGTGGGAGCAACCCAGGCCAGCCGGAGCCGGCCCGAGCTCCCTTGGTCCAGCCAGGGGCGTGGGGTGCAGCAGGCAATGCTTTGGGTTGTTCTCATTCTACAGCCGACTCTGTCCTTCAGAGCTGGCTAGCTGAACGGGCGTAGGCCCACCAGGACTCTTCCATCTGAGAAGATGCCCGGACCCCAACTGCCTCCCAGCTTGTCACAGCAGCTGTGTCCCCGTGAAGAGAGCATCTCTCCACATGGTCACTTGACTTCTCCTCCCGCCCTGCGCCGGTGTCTCCATACTAAAGTTCTCTCTAATGCCTGGTCCAGCCCAGGAACCCCATCGCCAGCCTTACCCAAGAAACTTGGCAAAGCTCCTACCTGTTCCCCTTGAAGCTGAACCCAGCTGACTGTCACCCTTCCCCTTGGCAGCCAGAGGGCATATCCAAGGGGGTGGGGTTAGGGGTGGGGCCATCCCTCCTCCCGCCCAGAAGACTGTCAGGGATGGAAAGGCCCATCAAGATTATCTGCTCCAAGCCTCTCACTGTACAGACTGGGAAACAAGATTCTAACTGGGCAACTGGAAAAATGGAATTGCTGTTGAGTGACATGGTGACAGCCGAAAGCAGGGCAGTTCATTTTTCGGCCTGTCAGTATTTCGAGATGCCGATTCCACATGAAAGAGGAGATGGCAAGGAGGCAGATGCTGGCCAACAAGCTTCCCCGACCCCACCCCTTCATACGCGGCACCCCTCACCTCTCTCTATCATTCTGGAGGCCCTGCTCTGATTACGGCAGAGAAAGCAGAGACCAAGCCGAGATGTTTCAGAGCCGGGTGCCAGGGAATGGCCAACTGTCAGGGGCCGTGGGCCTGGGGCTAAGCGAGGCTTCGGGATTGTAGAGGTCTCGGGCACAGGGGCCAAGTTCTGGGCCTGCAGGATGCTGAGGATGAGGCGGGTGGTGCTGGGGGAGGGAAAGCAGGCCGGAGCAGGAGCCACTCGGAAGGGAGCTGGGAAAGGAGGGGGACTCTGAACCTGACCGTCAGGTCCTGAGAATGTTGCCCAGCCGGATCCTGGCAGTGAGAGGAGGAGGCAAGCCTGCGAGGAAGGCTCTAGAATCGAGAATCTAGAACACTTGCAAGGCCCAGAAACTTGGACATCCTTGCTCTGTCGCAGGGCCGGGGGCAAATACAAAGCAGTCCTGGACAGCTGACTGCTGTGCCAATGCGTAAAAGGCCCAGGTGTTTGGAGCCAGATGGACTTGAATTCAAATCCTTGTTCTTCCATGTATTAGTTATGTGACCCTGAATACTTCTTCGTGACTTAGTTTCCTCACCAGTGAAATGGGAATGATAATACTAAACTTTTAGGGTTTCCTGCATATCGAATTGCTTCATAGGGGTGAAAGCACTTTGTAAACCATCGAATGCTGCGAATCTATAAAGTATTTGGTGACTTCACTCCCAGGATGAAGCTAGCTTCTTCAGAGGAGGGCAAGTGTGACTCGAGACAGCGTATACCCAAGGGAACAGTCCAGTGTCCACTACACTAGGGGAGCCCCGGCCTGAGGCAGCCTCCGACTCCCACGGCTTCTAACTAGCTAGCTCTGGTAGGCATCTGCTCGTCCTCAGACACAGCTGCCGCTGCCACTGCTGCCACCCTGTGGCTACTTCGGGAAGAGACCTCACCCAACCTTCCCCTACCAGAAGCTGGCTTCTCTTAGTCACCGGAGACAAAAGGAATGATTTGTGCATAATGCGAGGCTACGCGCCGACTCGCTCTCATCCTTACTTCTGTTTCTGTGATGCGGCCATTGCTATGCTTCCCCTATTCCTCTGGACGTCCCTTCAAACCCCTTTCCTGGTTCCTTTTTGTCCTCCTCTCCCCAAATGGGAACCTTTCCCAAAGCTTACTCCTAGAGCCTCTCCCCACTCCCTTTCTCCCCTCTCCTCCCTTCTCCCAGACTCGGTGGCTTAAAACAACACATATATTCTCTTCCCGTTCTGGAGGGCAGAGGTCAAAAATCAGTTTCACTGGGCCAAAATCAAGGCGTCAGCAGGGCTGCACCTGAACTCCAGCAGTCACCTTGCATCTCTCTAGGGCAGAACCCGTTTCTTTGCCTTTTCCTGCTTCTACAGCTGCATTCCTTGACTATGGCCACTTCCTCCAACTCCAAAGCCAGGAGCACAGCATCTGGCTTCGGTCCTCAGAATTCCTTCTGTCTCTATTGTCAAATCATGTTCTATCTCCCTCTGTTTCCCTCCTATAAAGAGACTAGTGGTGACATTTAGGGCCCACCCAGATGATCCGAAATAATCTCCCCATCTCGAGAACGTTAATTTAATCACATCTGCAAAGTCCCTTTCTTCATATAAGGTGACGTTCATAGGTTCTGGGGTTAGGACCTGACATCTTTGGGGCCATTGTTAAGCCTACCACAGTACGTAAAAATTCATCGAGCTGTGCAATTACGATTTGTGCTTTTTACTGTTTGTAAATTATACCTCAGTCAAGAAACGCACACGCTCCTGGAAAAGATAATGATTTAAGTTCAATCATAATAATGAATTACAGACCTATCAGA